CAAAGATCTGTGGGACAAAATTTAAAGCCAAGTAACTATTTTATAGTACTTCCATGGAAAGACCAAAGGAACCAAAACCTAGGAACTCACATGAGAGAACAAGAATGTGTCCACACAGAAGAGAAACAGGCACAGAAGGAGGAGTGTTTGAGGTAACACAGCCCATGTGAGGAGGAATCTGAATGCACCAAGAGGGGGTTACCATCTCTGGGGCTTGTTCTGTAGCTCAGAGAACCAAGGGGCCCTGAGAGCCAACCTGCCTGCTAACCTGACTTGAGAGGGTTATCTCTGGCCCACGGGTTCCACCTCTGTGTGTGACTCTTGTGGGAGAATATATCATAAAGCCCTGGTGTTAATATTGCAATCCATCCAGGCACAGCCAGAGACCAGGGTCTAGCAACAGAATTTCAAGCGCCTTGACCCACCCTTCCAGCCCCTCCAGGGTCCTCTGAAGGCCACACTTCCATCAAAAGGTAGGAGACAGGGAAAAAGTCACTCTTATTGCACCAGACTGCAGATGCACTTTTCCTTTAGTTCAACGGTTTCCTTGGGAAAGAACCTTGCTGTGTAGGAGTCCAAAAGTGCTCTGCTTCAGATATTTGCTTTATCTGAAATGGCCTTGTGGGGGGAAGTCTCTTTCCAGACTTTGATGAGGGGTGTTCAGGCTGTAGTGAGAACCAGGCCCTAGTCAGAAAGAGCAGTTTGGCTGCAGCAGCAATTCCTTCCCTTGGGCTCTGGGGACAGACATAGGGCCTCATTTCTACCACTGGGGCTTTACCCATAGATCTGTGTGTTACAGTAGCTTCTGTGGTTGAGACTGGGGGCTCTCCTCCTCAAGATCCAAGCTCCCACCTAGGTCAGAAAGGAAACCACACTCAGACCCACAGTCTGCATCCCACACAAAGCAAATTAAAGCCCCAATTTACCAAACACTTCCAGAGCTGTTCGATCTTAACAAAAACAATTTACGTTTTTCAAAGTCAAGTAAAAATCAAATTCAGAAAGAACTATAATTAGCCCCCACCAAAATGAAATATTTCAGAAAGAAAAGGGGGAATGAGAGGTGATCTCCCCCAGCTGAGGACCAGGTCCTTGTCTCTCTCCTGAGGCAGGGAAGAGTTAAAGAAGACAGACATCCATCCCATAAGTCAGGATAATTTCACCACTCTGCAGCTGGAAGGCTCTGCTTTTTTGTCTGATAAACTTTAAAAATTAAGATATGATTGCTTTTGAGCTTGAGACACTTTATAATTCACACAGCCACCTTTAAGTGAAAGTAAAACATATAGTATTCTAAAAGGAGGGACATGGGCTTGAATTTGATTTAAAAAACAGTGGGAGGTAAAGTGTTCATGCTATTAAGATATAAATTACCATTTGCATCGGGAAGATGAGAGCTTGATTCTGGCAGAGCTGACATTAAATCAGAATTACAGCAATGTTCCCTGAGTCAGGATTTAAGTACCCAGGCATCCTCTCCTCTCACTCCTTCCACCCTCCATATACAGCATGTT